AGGCAGGAAAACTGCTGGTCCCAAAATAAAATTCCGTGTTCAGGGGCAGCAGGCGGCTTGGAAGGGTGACCCGGAGCCTGTCAAATGCAAAGCCCGTTTGCTTCCAACGCGTTCCCCGGTCACAACGCCCAGTGTAGAGGTTAAGCGGGACAATCGGCCCTTCCCGCAGCCGCAGCCGCCCAGCCTCGCCCGGCGCCCCAACTCAGAGTCCTGCCTGTGCCTGCCCCAAAGCCCCTGGAGCTAGGCTCGACCTGGGGAGAGGGGCTTCCTCGCCCAGAACGACCCCCCCTCCTCAGTTCCGACGGGTCCTATTTTTTCTGGGACCACACTCAGCTAATTTGCCAGCGCCCTGATCTGTCTTAAACAAAAGCCTTTCAATCATTTCAGGAGGTCGGAGAGCGCTCAAGGCGGACGCGGTTTTTGGGAAGGGGTGGTCCTATCCTCATATTGCTCTCTGCACTCAAACCGATAAGAGTATTGATTTCCCCTAATTTCATTAACTCGCAGTGGCGTGATCTATTTCCAAATGCACATATTAGTCTTTTAAAAATCTCTCCTCGACACCACCAGGTTATAACAAGGTACTCTTTGCAACAGCTTTATCTTGAAGGAGACAACGATTAGGTGATCGCTATTTTGAGAAATCGGAGCAGTTCCCTTTTCTCTGTCTTTATACAATTTCCCACACCTCATAGCTGCTCAGAAGAAACAAACAGCAAACGAACACCTTAGCGGCCGCCTGTTTCTAACGGGCCGAGATTGCCTGTTAGAATCCAGCAATAGACAGATACGGTGCCGCGGCCTCTCCGCCAGCCGCTGCTTCTGGAACGTGAGCACGCCCCCGTGTGGCTCTCCAAGGCCATGCAAACAGAAAATGGCATTTCTTGCCTAAGGTGCCGGACATACAAGCTTGCTACATTTAGCCGCAATAGGGGAAAAAAAAGGGGGGGGGGGAAGATAGATGGAGAGAGAAAGAAATAAACCAGTTTTAAGCTCCTGGAACGATCATACTAATACTACTAGGGCACTGACATTTTAACGGACGCCCATAATTCCAAACAAAGGAATCCACTTCCAAACGAAATTACTCAACTGTAGACTTTGTTTCTATTGCATCTTTCACCAAAGGCTGTGGGACGCTTTTGAAAACAATATATTTCCTTTTGTCCCATGTCATAGAAAGTGCAATAATTTATTTGACAAGGTGACAATTTTTTAAAAATATAACGAAGGTGTAAGTCTAAATAGAACTTCCTTTTTCAAATGCCTACTTTTAAAACCGAGATTCTTCATTAGAGCAAAGGGGACTGACTACTATCTATGACTCCCCACAAACTCCCCCACTATTTCGTAGCTGTATTAAAAGCATGCTGGTAGACATTTTAATCTAACCAGTGTTTTTAAAAGAAGTCAATTGCCGTCGAATTACACAAATGCTTGAAGGGAAATTAAGGTTATTGATCCTGAAATTAGGAATTTGCTTAGATTTATGGTGAGCCCCCATATGATTCTGTGTGGTCATAAATGTGTGTGGGGATCTGGATGTGTGAGCATGTGTGTGTGAGAGTGGGTGGCAGATGAATATCACAGAAGAACCTTAAGGCGCCTAATTATTCAGAAAGGTTAAAGGTGATGACCTTGACATTTTGGAAGTTCAAAGGCATACACTTATGCACTTATGTTTTTCCTTCCCCCCCAAAGCTTTGGCAATTAAAAAATTTTTGCATTTGGAAATGCATGCTTCCTCGGAAGAGGCATGTGGTGCTGTGTATCTTAAGGATTTATTTTTTACTTTGGGCTTATGAGAGGTTAAGTGTCATAAGATTCACTTTACTCTTTTCAGAGAAAGAGAAGCTTTTTTCACTCCTCAGGTTTATTGCACATTGCGGAAATCTCTTTTGGGCCCACCAGAAGGTGTATAATATAACCCAATTAAGCTGTTTAGAACTTTGGCTTTTATGGTGTTGTCTAGACAGTTCAAGGTTTTGTAAACAGCCTGGCCTGGTCCTGCAACATAAAGAGCAGTGCACCCCCCAACACACATTCTTTAACTTGAAGCGATAAATGTGGTGAGAACTGGGTCTGCAGCCCCGGGCCCTATTTTAGGAAGGGGGTTTATCTTCCCTGTTCCAAACCTGCTGTGACACCAGTGAGCACCCCAAGACCTTTCTACCCACTGATAACCTCCTTTCAGCAAACTTTGTTTTTTTCAGTGAAGGGTTCTAATATTGGTTTCTTCTTTTAAGGGACCTGGGATCCTTGACACTTTGTTAAGAGTGAATTTGGATTTTCTAATCGGTTTTTTAAAATGTTTTTTCCCCCCCCAGAAATTCCAAGTTCACTAAACTAAGGCAGAGGGAGTGTTGCTACCTCCGTTCCTGCTGCCCCAGCCTCATCGTCTGGAGAAGGCAGCACCAGGATCACATCCTCAATTCAGAAATTCATCCCTAAAATTTAAAAAACCCAATGTACCCTAGCAGTGTGTGTGTGTTGGGGGGGGGGGACACAACTCTTATTTTAACGGAATTAAAAAACATTTCACTTGATTTTCAGTTGCACAGGGGAGAAGATTTTGGCCACTAAAATACCCTAATAAGACACTAAACTTACTCAAAGAGGAACATCCATACAGTGTATTGAAGCTGTAACCTCCATTTTACTAGAAACCAATTTATTCACACAAAAGACAGTGACTCATGCCTTGATACGACAAACCAAAGGTACATTTCCCAGAGTTTAAATAATCTGCGTTCATGAAGGAGGAAGGACAGGGTCCCTTAAACTCAGAACAAAAACAAGTGCCTTGCAGCCCAGGCCTAGCTCTCTACAGATCCCACAGCGTCCCCACGGGGACCTGGAGAGAGAGGGAGGGAAAACAACAGCACACTGGCGGTAAAATTGTAAAGGGACATTTGCATTTACCATTTTCCCCTTATTAGGATCCATTCGGCCAAGTCCCCGGCCTCGTCCGCAGGCAGCAGTGGTCGCTGGGAGGTCCCGAGTTGACCGTGGGAAGAAATGATGGAGTTCCACAGAGAAGAGGCGTCATTAAACCCAAGGACACTGGGCCTGCCGAAGGCAGGCTGGTGGGGAGGAGGGTGGGTGAGTGGGGCTTGGGGGAGAGGGGTGCTTCCTGGAGCTCTCAAAATAAGGGATTTCCAGTGAAATACTGCAGACGGTCTCTGTTCAGTTTCTTTTCCTTCATCCTGCGATTCTGGAACCAGATTTTGACTTGCCGGTCAGTGAGGTTGAGCATCCGAGAGAGCTGGAGTCTTTTCTCTTTGTTTATGTACACGTTAAAGAAAAACTCCCGTTCCAGTTCGCGGATCTGATACTTGGTGTAGGGACAGCGCTTTTTCCGGGACCGCTGGGGGGCCACTGCAAGGCAAAGAGACCAAGGGGTGAGAGAGGCCGCTGCCTGCCAAC